ACAAATTAAATTCTCTGGAATTTCGGCCTGGGTTGGCAGGCAGGTCCCTCAAATTGCAATCAATAAAATTACTGAATTATGTAAAAATATTACATAAATACGCACGTAGAATTTAAATATATATGCAGATTTATATATTTGAAGTCTACGTGTATATTTATATAATTATGTAATTTTGTATATGGACATATGTATATTTCGTATTTTTATTTATTTATATATACATAGATATATATACAAATTCATTCTAAGTGTATTTTGATATAAATATATATATATTAATTTTAAAATACAGTTAGAATAAAATCTCATATAGATATATAATTTTTTTTAATTTTTATTATTATTTTAAAAAATTTTTATTTAATTTAAATTACTTATTATTTATATTTTATAATATATATACAATATATATAGTTATTATATATATTATATATATACGTGTGTAATTTAATTATAAGTGTATTTTTATATTAATATAAGTACATATTAATATAAAAATACACTTAGTATGACATTATATATATGATATATAGACATATATCATATCGATATAATATATGTCTATATATCATATATATATACACATATATAATTTTTTTTTTTTTTATTAACTCTACCTTTATTTATTTTTTATTGATTTTACACTAGCAGGGAGACTGCCTTTCAGCACAGACAGTCCCCCTGCAGGCAGACACATGGACCCCTGTTGTGACCATGTGATCGCTGTGTTAAGTGATCACATGGCCACAGGGGTCCTAATTCAGTGTGGGGAGACTGTCTGGGCTGCAGGCAGTCTCCCCACACCGGGAGCCACTCTGATCGCCGCCGGGGGAACGACGGCGATCAGGTAAGTAACTCAGACCGTTAGGACGGTTCAGGACTGTCATCGGTCGGCAACGCAAAAATGCTGATGACAGTCCTGAACCGTCCTCGGTCGTTAAGGGGTTAATTATTTCTACATCCTTACATTAATATAGTGTGTTTACTTTGTATATGATATTAAAACAATTATATTTGCACATGATTTAAAACAAAACAATTAAGCCATTTACTAAGGGAAAGTTAGGTGGGGTTTAGGTTGTGGGTGGTATAAGGGTGCATAATGTTATAGATTTAGGTGAGGCCTAATCCCAACACTAACATGGTTATTTTATTTATTAACGTGAGAATTCATAATAAATTCAAACTGAAAGCACTGCTGAATTAGAGAATATTTCCGGTAAGGCTACGTAGACCTTAAATATAAAATGCAGTTTTATTTTTTTTTGTGAATATCCCTGTAAGTCGGCAAACCTGCAGCATCGGTACACTGCTGTACACCAAATCATTATCACAATGAGTAAAGCAGCATCCAGCATCATTATTCACATTCATTTAATGACGTTTCATGTGACTGCATTCATTAGAGTTACTTTTTAACTAGATTTAAAAAAAAAATTTTTTAAAGTGATTCATGTTAGATAGCATGTCATACATACTTAAACATTTAAATGAAACTATGTGATTATAGAGTTCATTTTGACAGAAAATAAATGCTTTATCTATAATGGCCTGCACTAATTTAAAAGAATTTTTTTTATTTGTTCAACTTATTTTTCCTGTGTGTAGTCATCTTCAAACTGTGCCTGAATTAATTTATATTTTCAGGAAGACTTTGCTTCATGAACACGTTCACCTGTCGCCAACACAACTTTCAACATCATTAAATGTATATAGTTCTTTTCTTTTTTTTGCTCTTTGATCATCATAATATTTATGAATTATGAACTATCTGGATTTGCTCCACAGACTGGCATTGTAGGCAATTGCTGAGTTTATCTGGCATCACATTAAGGATATGTTGTCACTCATCTCCTAATGTGCCCACTTTTCAGGTGACCATCCTACTTAGAATCCACCTTCTGCATAACTCATTTTACTGTACAACATCTATTTTTTCTCCTCATTCCACCTCTTTGAGCTAAATTCCACCACAACATCTTAATATGGATCATGTGTATCCAATGACAGCGAATAAACATGGTTGGCCTTACAGACATATAGAGGGTTTATAAAGTTGATTAACTTTGCTGCACTGAGAAATGCAGGATGTGGGAAAGTGGCAATTTGCATCACATGAAGTCTATAATAAGAAAAAAAAATGTGTATATATATATTTTTTTGTGATCATGTTAGTTTAGTGTAGTCCACAGACATACCTGTCAAACGTGTTTTTATTTGCCTTAAATATTCCCCTAGAAATTCCAATTGTTTGCAAACTGCTATGAACTTTTCATGTATTGTTAAACCACAGTGAGAGATTAAAGATAAAAAGAGAATTTTTACTCAGGAAAAAATTATAAATTAAAATAGCCTCTTTATTAAAATAGCTATCACTTGAAACTGATGTGCTTCTTCAACAACCACAGATAGAACCCAATTGGTTTCACGGTGTTCTGATAAACTTACACATGTGTAGCTGTACTCCAAGCACTCGTATGCAATATTGCACATCTTGGAGATTTATTCACTGTACAATGAGATGCCTGTTGACTAGTAACATGGCATTTTTTGAAAAGAAAATCTCACCAGGGCAAGACATTTTCAAATTCTGAGATTCTGATTATATATTGAAAGTTAGGTGTCAATAGACATCTCTATCTAGAAATGATTAATAATTACATGTTAATAAATATTGCTGTTTTGAGTAACAAAATAGCACAATTTAATCTGTTTTACACCAAACAAGGTATTGCCATAATCAATAATATGCAAATAAGACTCCATTCTGCACACAATCAATGTATCAATTGATGGAGCTGTTTGCCACCAGTGAGTAATCAGTATACCAGCCCACATTGACCTTTTAATTATGCCCATTAGCACAAGATTGTGTTGCAGTCAAATTTTGATTCTATGTTATATGAAAACAAGCTAATTGCTGGAATGCCCAGTAAGAACAATCATCCTTGACCTGGTATCCAGTTTATCAGATAAATTAGAATATATTTTCATTGATAAAGGTTGGAAATGGTTATATTTATAGATATTGTATGACATTATGTCAAAATACATAAAAAAATATTTGCATTCTAGTGGTCTGTTAAAGCTTTCCAAACCCTGTTACAGAAGGAAGACTGTCTGCAACAGGCTGCCATCCAGACAAATATGTTTGTCATTGACATCACTTCTCTACAGTCTAAACAATGCAATTAATGGGTTAACAAAGAAAATACATGTTCCTTTTACAAAGCAAGAAAAAAAATAACCAACATCAGTACAACTTTTTTTGGATGGGTAATATATCTTATCATTCTTAGACAGTCTTAGTGTAATGGGAGTTGTAGATCAACAGCTGGAGTGCAGCAGATTACTAAGGCCTGTTTTGTGCACAAGAAACGTGGCTAGAAGCTGGCAAACACTTCAGCCTGACTGGTATGTAGCAGCTATTTAGAAAGCAAATTTTCGATAAGATCAAACCCATTCAACAGATTTTAGTCGTCAACAAAAAATTTCTATATTTTCTTTTTTTTTTATACTGAATATATAAAGTTGATATTTTTGGCAAGTTCCCCTAAATCTGCGCAATGAAAATTACAGCAGAAAAGCAGCATGGATTACAAAAACACTCAATATGATGATTTAATTATTTTTAGTGAAATGGAAATGATTTCATGGCCTAACGTATGCAGTATGTAACACTTCATAGTATTTAAAAAATATATATGCAAGCGACAGACAGACTGGGGAGAATTAAAAGTGACGTAGCATTTTATGACGAAGCTCCATGGATGGAACACTAGTTTACAATGCATTCCATTCCCCAGGGTACTGGGCCAGCTGCTGAGAATAGAACTCTAAAGCCAGAGGCCTTGCAAACTGCTGTAACTTAGCATTGCCAAGTAAGGACTATAAAAAGTGCCATTATGCTGATAATTGCAGCTTTCATCTTTGCACAGGCACACGAGGCAGTGCTGGCTGACCTTTTCTCTAAACCACACCACAAACATTAGTCACCGAGTACCTGCATAGCTATAACAAACTGCCACTTTTTATTGAGGGAAAGTTATCATGCTGAATTATCTGTGACTAATTGCAAGACTCCAGTATAAGATTTCTGTTAAAATTAATATTTCACGGTTGTACAACCAGTTCCATTTCATCAGTAATCCCAGATTGTATTTAAACCAATCTCAAATCTCTTAAAGCAAACTGAAGTAAAAGTTCTCTGGTGTCAAATACAAGGACTTGTAGTTCAGCCACACCCCGAAACTCTGTTTAGTTGACTGATGGAGGCAAATGGCATACACGTTAACCATTTTGTCCAAATTTACCCCAAAAGGCATTCTCTGCTTTATGCTTAAATTGTCAATTAAAATTTGTAGCCATATATAAAAATACAGAAATACAGTAATAATGTTAAAATGCAAAATAAGAATGTATTTGCAATAGTTTTATGAAGACTACGTTCAACAATATATCTTTGGCTATATGTTGAACTTACCTTCTTATTTATATAGTGTGATGCACATACGATGTTAGATTATTCAATATTTTGTTATAAATTTCCAGCAGAAAACCTTTATCACTTAACCATTTTAAAATGACTATAATTACAGCATGCAAGCAATATCTATATTTTTTTTAAAAAAGGCCAAAAGGCAAAACATTTTGTATTAAGTTAACAATAGGGACAGTATCATGCATATCAATTTAAGATATCTGAAGGCAATGTATTGGGGTCGCAAACCACACCCAGCCCTGTCCCCAGCTATACTATGGTAATTAATGGGAGTTATTCAAGCAACAAAAGCAACAGAACTAAAATACAAGCAGTACCGTCATCTTTGTCCCGCTCACTGAAGCATAAAAGAATAATTAGATTTCTTGAAAATAGTCTACGTGCTGCTGTGAACTCCATTCCCTTTGTACTAACCGTATCCTTGATTTATTTTTTTCATCCAACGCCATGAAGTATGAAGATAAAATTTATATATACACATTTAAAAAAAGTACATGGACCACGTAAATGTTTTATACTTTTTATTTGCATATTTAAAAAAAATTGTGCATTCCAATAATTCAAATCATTTTGAACAAATTAAAATTTCACTTGATTTGACCGCATTTTACAGCTCGCTGGACTTTGATGCAGCTTTCCTTTCACTCGAGGCCACATGGTACTGAATCTCCGTACCTCACCAATTATCCTTTTATTATATAATGCACGATGCTCAATGCCACCAGGACCAAAGCCAGCCAGACAGGCAGATGGAGAGGCAGCGCCTTCAGTCAGTCAGTAGTTCTTTATTCCTTTCTGTTCATGTAACGGGCAGCACAGTAAATGTTTTCCAACCTTTGTATCTTTGTTATTTTTTTTTACAAAGTTAAACAGCTAAAAGAAGTAAAATAAGAAGGCAATGCTTGTGGAATGTACAGTGCATATCTGGGTGATGGGAGATTCATTATGATTCAGTTGCTTGTTTCTCTTGCTCAATTGCTAAAAAGAAGAAGGAAAAAGGGTGGAAGGAGGTAAAAAAAAAAAAAAAGAAAAGAAAAAGAAAATTAGTATATTTTAATTTACAGTTAAGAAAAACCAAGGTATCTTTAAAAATATATATATATTAAAATAAGTTTCAAATGAACTTACTTTCTTTTGAAGGAAGTGGATTTTTCTCTTGTGTTTCTGTCTTCTTCAGCTTGTTCTTATCGAATTTCTCAATCTCAGCCATATCTGGTTTGTCAGACATTTTGTTGGATTATCTGTACAAAAGATGAAAAAAGAAAAAGGAAATGAAATTAGAGTGTATTGCAAAAATAAAAATTTAACAAAAAAATTCTCTTTTTTTTGTTACTAGGCAGCCACGCCCTCTCCAAGTTCTACATTCTGAAGATATTTCCTTTTCGCCTCTCCTCTAAATTCTATTGTCTGTACACAACTAGATGCAATATATATTTATAAAATATAATATAATAATGGTACTTTTTTCTATGCATCGTTAAAAAAAAAAATGAAAAAAATGCAAAACACATAAATTATTATCTGCGTAGATGGAAAGAAAAAAATACAAATAAGTTGAAGCACTACATATAATTATACCCATATCATTCAGACTTTGCCCTTCTATTGTCTAGTGATGTGATCAAATCAATAAGTTGGACCTATGCCAGATCAGAGCAGTGTCACTCTATGCTAATCATCAAGCATACTCAGGGGTCTGCTGCCTCGCTCCCTCCCTGTAGATGAAGTCATGCATTTTTCTCTGTACAAAGAACTGCAGCTAAAAAACCAAGGAGTCTTAAACCACCGCCCTGTTCTGTTTCAGCCCCCGCTCTTCTCCAATGCAATTTAACGCAGAACAGATTTACAAGCACAAAGAATTTTTTTTTTATAGAGAAGAAATCTTTGGAGCTAAACATCAAATAGCCATTTTCAATCTAGAGGAGAAAATAGCCAGATGCCCTAATAACTGGCAACGCATGGCTAATCTCTGGCTTTCACAAAACTGGATCTTGGAAAGATTAAATGTCAATCTTTATGTATTCTTTTTAAAGAAAACAAGTTACAAAATCAGCGTGCAAATGAGATAAGCGCCAAATATGCTATTTTACATGCAAATTCTGAGGTAATCCTCCCAGTAGCAAGGACAAAAGCAACAAATATTGCCTGTGGCAAATTAAAAAAAAATATCAAACGGAAGCACCCAGGTTTACAATGTTGCACACAATAAGACATGTTATGGCAGATTTCATATCTAGCAGCAGGGGAATAGAATGTATACATTCAGGACTTACCAGGGACTGAGCTCAGAGACAGCACAATTCCTCACAGATGCAGCCTTGACTATGAGGGGAGTGAATGGAACCAGCTCTTATATCAGCTCCTCTATGCAAATGACACTGACAACGTCACCCAGTTTGGGCTTAACTCTTTCTCTCCCCTCTAATCTGCTAGTCATGATTCCTGTAATAATTGCTATGGTTAAATAAAAGAAATTAGATAATGAGGCAGAGTTTTCTCCTATGCAGTGGTTTAATAAGCAATATTTTTTTTTTTTTGCTGTTACACAGGCAAATAAAACAGCACATTATAAAAGCTTCTGTTAGAAGAACACATATATTCTTACAGCAATCGATTTTTAGTAATCTGTTGGTTGAAAGCCAAAATATTAATAATAGTGCCTGGAAATAAATAAAAAAAACTATTACCAAGAGTAATAATAATACAGAGGACATAAATACATATATTAATTGTCTTGTTTTTATTTTTTCTGCTCTGTTCTGCTGTTTGCATGAAGGTAGGCCCAGATTACTGCTGCACAAAGCATTAGAAAAGATGATATAGCATCACTGATTATTGTTTTCATAAGAATCAATGTTGTATTCCTGATTCAGTCCCTAGAACTCAGCTTTACATCAAGGTAAAAAAAAACGAGTAGCGTTTAGAATAATACATGTATGATTTTGTTATCTAGAAATCTAAGAGCACCTTTTAATATCTATATATATAATAAATATTAACAAATGCAAAACATTGACTATGTATTTATTTATATATTTATTTATTTATATATATTATCACTGAATACAAATGCAAAACATTGAATATGCACAGAATTTCCTGTAAAGTAGCATTTCAAATTTGCCCACCAACCACACCGATATCAAAAAGGAGAAGTAGCACATATTCCTCTTTTTGTTTCCCTTTCTTGCATTACTTATAACCAAAGGCATATTGCTTACTGTTTGGGTTATATACTTATTGATAGGATTGTTTAATAGTCACGCATAATCACATCTGCAGATAACATACTGCATTGTTCTTAGTGTATAGGGGAGACCTTACAAATCATTCCAGCACACTAACGGTTAAAGCATAAAGAGCAGTAAGATGCAGTTGTGGTTTAGAAGCAGCAGATGAAGACAGGAAATGGTATTTCCTGTGTTCACATTAACAGCAACAAGACAGACTCCTTGGCCTAGACCTGTATGAAATATAGTTACTTGCGCACCTTATGTTTTCAGTAATGAATATCCTTGTATCAGTGTTTTACAAATATTCAGCAATGAGTAGTTGAGATAGTTAAGGTGACATTTAGAATTCGTTCAGGCGTGGTCTCTGAGAAGGATGGCACTAACAATTGAAAAATACCATTTCCTGTAAACCCTGTGGTAACAGGGAATAGGGAGGGATTTGATTGCTGCACTACTTAAGGGAACACTATAGTGTTTAATTATGTCCCTCTACGCAATAAAAAAAAAGTGTTAAAACCCCTTTCTTTCACCTAACTTATTTTCCACCGGTGCTAGATCAGACACCTCCTCCCGCGACATCATTGCGATCTGGAACCTAATGCACATGTTTGCATGACTGCTGACCAGATAACCCCTACCACCTGTTGCCCAATAAAGACACAACAACACTTGATATGGGCAAGGGCAACGGCCACAGCTTTATTGATAATTATTGCCAGCATCCCCACTCTGTCAGCTTTTGGGGGGTTTACCAACAGACAGCTCTATCCTAATGAACCACGAGTCCAGAGCAGCCTGCCCCCGCTATCAGCTCTCAGCAGGCTGCGACTCCCCAAGCCACTTGGGCACTTTCTTCCAATTTACTTCGCTGGCCAGGACTACCGCGAGCTGTGACAAAACAAAGAAAAGACAACAGCACCCAACCAAACAAAATAACCTCCACCTTGAATTTCTAGGGTGGGCGGGTGGGCGAGCCTCTGACAGGGAACTGGTGAGTACCCTCCCAATTCACTCCTTTTTATGATATGCCTTGGTTGCAACATTGTATCCCCCCGGGGCCATCCCCTAATCCCTGTCATCAGTAATGTCCTCCCATCCTTATCTCTCTAGGGAGGTACTTTCGGCTCACATGTTTGAATCAATATTTTCGTATGTGGTTTTCGAAGACGCTGGACGTGCTCATGCAATGCGTGAGGAGGACATCCAGCTTTGTTTTACAGAATAAAACCCAATTAAGATCATCTAGTGGCTGTCTGGCAGACAGGCATTAGAGGCAGTCTTAACCCTGCAATGCAAACATTGCAGTTTGTCTAAAACATCAATGTTTAACATTGCAAGGTTAACGGGATGGCGACACTGCACCCAGACCACTTCACTGGGATGAAGTGGTCTTTGTGTCTTTAGTGTTCCTTTAATTAAGGTGGCACGTTTCCAGCCTTTTATGTCATTTTTATAAAGGGTGGCAAATCTCAGCCTATTGGTTTCTGGACTACAATAGATTTTACCAGTGGAAAGAGAACTGGAGGGACAGTATGAGGTTGGGTACCATTTATGTGTAATTTATGGTGGGCATGGACTTAACACAAATACTACTTTACTGTAATTGTTTTATCGTTGTAAAATGCTACAGCTACTACGCAGCATTTCAATTGTATATATTTAATAGGATGCAATCAATGAGTGACTATCTTAAATAGATTGCTAATTCCATCGTAAGCGCAAGAAATTACTTATTTATTTGTCTTTAAAGGGGAACTGTTGCTTTTCTTTCAGTTCTCTGTTCCTCTTTCTCTCAGGCAGCAAATATTACTGAATCTTTTACTGGGAGAGCACTGAAGGAGATACTGTATCAATGTAATATGCCTTTCCCTCTGTCAAAAGGTAGTAAGCATTTTAGAAATTTTGGGCAATGATGGCGTTGCCATAAAAGTTGGTCCGCATCAAATTTTTTCTAGTCCACACCTAAATGAACTGATCTATCCAATGTTTATCTGCTGAGTCTTATTCATTGAATGCTGATGTACAATTTATTCAGAAAAAATAAGGGAAGCGAGAGCAAAAGATATTACACTGTCCTTATACTACATCATACTCACTATAACAACTTAATCTAGATTTAATTGTTATACTTAATACAAATACACAAAAATAAGTCATGCGCTCAAACTCCCAGGACTTATTTTAGTGTATTTGCATTCACTTTTGTATCACACAGCTATGTTACAATGCTGCCGCCCACCCTATGTGTTCCCTGTTAAGGGTTAATTAGTATGTAGGGGTTTAGAAAAATACCCCTCTCATTAGTGATTTTTTTGCCTGAAACTCAAGAAAGCAAGGGGAATAGTCAGTGTAGGACACACCTAAGAGGTTTGCCTTGACATGGCAGATGGGCCTGGATCTAAATTTGTTATAGTACCTACAGTTGTTCCCCCCTCCCTAGTGGCCCCAAATCTAAATATTTCAGTAATTAGAATGCTGGGAAATGTGGTTTCAAGCCCTCTGATCATGAGAGCGCATGGCCGATGCCATTACGGTCTTCCATAGAAAATCATTGCATGCAATAATTCTCTATGGCAGAATTGTAAGCCCATTGCAGCAAGTGCCACATACGTGCCTGCGGTCTGCAATGCTCATTTATGAGAAACATTGGATTGGACCTCATTCTGGTTGAAGGCCATGGCACCACTGAGGAAGACTCTGTGCTGGAAAGAAGGTGAGAAAATAATTGACTTTTGTATTAAATTGCCTTTTTTTGTTTGTTTGTTTGTTAAGCCCGGGGGACAAGTAAGCTAAGTAGGTTACAAGAATACTGTAGCCTTAGAAATACAGATATGTATTCATAATGCTACAGTGTTCCTTTAAAAGTAATTGAGACCATGATAACACTACGCCAACATCAAGTGATCCCTGGTGTGACCCTTGTATTTATCAACAAACACATGGCAGTCCCTTGGGGTTATTCAATAAACTCTGAATACCACCTGTCCTGATTATCACAAGTAATATTTCTTGCCATATACTCTATAATAAGAACAGTTACAGAAAAACAATGAAGAGAACAATATATGCTACTACAAAAAAATACCAGAAACTATACACTTACTATTTTAAGTAATATTTAGCATTTATATACTTTTCATATAGTTTTGGACTCGCAGCCCAGATACTACAAGGAGCTCATCACTTTTCTAAAGCTTAAAATGTAAAAAATTGTATTTTAAGCTTGATTTTAAAATTGTCACACTAAATTATATTTCATAAAAAACTAGACAATCCAGAGTATTGCACTTGCTACATTGCGCCACTGGTCATACTTGTACTTTACAGGCAGTCTCTTTCAGTATTTGTGGTATATTTTCCCCTACATTTCTCAACATACATTGCATTGTGGCTGTAAAGTCTGTTTAGCATGGTTTGTCAATGCAGAAACATTTTTGTTATATCCTCTGACTTTAGCGTTACTGCATATTATCAGTTTATTCACAGAAAGTACAAAAACAATTATGACTATTACGCAGTAGTTTAGTGAACCCATATCTTCTGGGCATCAATTTAGGAAGACACTTTTAATTTTAATTACTCACAACAAAGTATATATTTTTACAAAAGCGAAAATCTCCAGCTCTCCAACTTTCTCTAAACCCTATCGCTTAGTGTTCTGAGTCCATCTGTAACATGTGCATTTGACTGCATGACCAAAATCTCACACTTTAGTTGGCAGTAAGAGCCGAAGGACATTTCATGTTTGCTAACTGCTCATACTCCTTGTGTGCTACTCGCCTATTTGATGTTAGGTGCTGCTCCAAAAGCACACCAATTATTGAAATGACTCCAGCCTTTAAATGTTTCCAACTCCTTCCATGGCACCTGTCACATGATGCATGCATAATTTTTCCCAACGGTTCTACAACAGCTCATTGGGTACATATGGTGAAGGGTTATAAATATTATGTCTTTCCATGTCTAGGTGTGTGATGCTATCCTAAGGTGATAGTGATTTCAACCTGGGTTGTTTTTGACTTTCCCTTGCTAGTTGCCTATACTGACCCTTGGCACGTCAACCATTTTTTCTGTCTTCTGGTGTCCGGACTTCGGCTTGTTTAAATGTATGCTTGCTTAGTCCACTTTTTTGGACACGCCTGTGTTTCAATAAGCCCATCAAGTATAAAGTCTGGTAATATAACTTTCTATCACATTATTACCCTTGCAGTTAGAGTTCTGAATATTCTGTCTTGCTGTACCTGACACCATACCTCCCAGAGTTGGGTGGGCAGGTTAGAAGTGCCAGCTGCCTGAAAAGGGAATTTTATAATATTGGTGTGTGCAGGGTGCCAACAGACAAAGACAGCCAGTTCCACATTAGGAGGTCTGGTTGAGCAATGGGATATGGACAAGTCCCCTTAATTGGCTTTACTGACTTCTCCCTCTTCATTCCTGAATGACAACGCTGGAATCAAGTGATGTTAGATCCCTTTTTCCCCAGCGCTTGTTGAACCAACGTGGGAAGTTAAAAGAGGATCCTGAATTCCACAATCTAGAGCTCTGGGGCATCCTAATCCCTGCTGGATACAGGGAAGCTACTCTCCAGCTGCAAAATAGTAATTATAAAGGAGGGTGGCTAAATAAAACATCAGTTTAAATGTATGTGTGTGTGTAGAAAACTACGTGTATACAGCTGGTTGTGTTTTTAACAATGTATGTGAGTTTAATAGTTCATGTGTGTAATAGTATATGTGTGTAGCTGTGTCAATGTAGTAGTGTTTGTGTGTAGCAATTGCTGCAGAGTTTGTGTATTTGTATGTGTGTAGCATTGCATGTGTCTGTAGCTGAATGTATGTTTAACAATGAATGTGTATGTATGTTTGTAGCAGAGTGTGTACAACATGATGTGTGTTTATGTGTAGCACTGTGAGTGTGTTTAACAGTGTGATTGTGTGTATGTTTAACAGAGCGTCTGTTTGGGGTGGGTGTTGGGAAGTGTGTATCTCGAGGAATGTGCATCTCTTCCTGGTATCTTGAGTGTGTGTAGTTTTGTATTCATGCTAGGCTGACTGACAAAATGATCTAGTCAGTGACACAAAGGGCAGAATGATTCACAGAGCACTGTTGACGCACTCTTGCATGGTCTGAATGGTCTTATAGCACTATGCACAGAGTGCATCTAATGATGTTCCCATGTTGAGCTAAATGAGGACATTTCATCCACCACGGGAGGACAGAACTCTGAATTTGGGATGGGCCTACAGGAGATATTTGACAATTATATATTATAGAGTTAAGGCACAAGACAAATGTATGAAGGGCTTTTATGTATTTTAAATCACACTAGTAGTGCCAAAGGGTAC